TTATTATGGCAAACCAGCAATTATTTAAATTCTCGAATTAACACATATATTAGCTCCTATAAATTGAGCTGTATGAAATGGCAAGTCAGCCCTGTTCCTATGTGTATGTCATAATGTGAGCATGTGTGCATGGATAGTGATGATGCAGTGCTCATTCCTGTGCCCACGGAAGAACCTCACAAGGTCATCTGTGAGAGATGTTTGCTTTCAGGACCACATCTCATGTCAGGAAAAATGTTTGCTTTCACAAAAGTCTTTCCAGTGAAACTAGGTGTTAGGAATTTAGCCACGGCTCCCTAGCTGTACTACAACAGGTTGAATAAAGCGGGTAGTGCAGCAATGAGTGTTTCGTTTCCACAATCTCTATCAAATACAGTTAATTTACATGATTCACAAGACTGCTCTTTTACCAAATCACATTTCTCTTTGTCAGGCATTTTTCCCCCCAGGGTAATCTTTAATTTTCACCAGATGCTTGGTATTCTGTATGGCACCAACACCAATGGACTGTTTCAAACAATGGCATAAAGAGTTAACTCATATAATGGAGAAGAAAGGCAAAGAGAGTGCCCACAGCTAGCTTACTATCAAGAAATCATCTAGTTCTTGGCGTTTGCTATAGGCAAAGTAAAACAAAGCACTAGCAGCAATAAATCAATTCTTGTGTGTGGGTGTTGTCAAAATAGGCTGTTCTGGCTCTCTCTGATCAGTTCTTAGGCCAATAAGGCTCTCTTTTATACTTCCCAATGTTTTGAAATGCTTCTGTGCTCAAAGAAGATCTAAGCTGTCTCAAATACAATCATCCACAAGGTAATGGGGTGTCTCCAGTTTGAGAAACTTCATCAGGTGCCTTGAAAGTCAAACATTCCTCAAGTATGCTGTAATTATACATTGCTTGTGATTATGGCATAAAAAGTACTCCAACTACTGCTGGGCTCTAAGATCAGAGCTGGGTTTTAAATGCTGAAATGTCTGCAATGGGCTTACCTTTGTTCGTTCTTTTTTTTTTTCTTTACATTAGAAAAATGAGAAACAAAATCAAGGCTTTAGATCCAAAGACACTGGGTTTTGGCCTACTTCCACCTATAGCTATTGTACTGAAACAGTTCAAGGCATTCCTCTCTTCCCACTGCTCCCCTGCAGCTGGAAAGCACTATATGCTGCTTTCATGAAAAGAAACATCAATGACACTGGTTGTATATGCCTCCCCCTTAGTCCAGTTTGCTCTCATTGAATTGGCCTATACATCTGTAACCTCATACAAGAGAGAGGTTGTACGGGAGCGAGGTTTAAAGCAGCGTTCAAATCCGTGAAATACTTGGTCAGTGTCAGGATTTCCTCTGTTTGTATAAGATGAACAGGAAATTCAGAAGTCTTCGTACTTTTATTTCTTTTCTACCCTTCATGTCTTAAGAACATGTCAGCCTATCTAAATGATGATGTATTTCTTTACTTTATTTGAGTTAAAAGTAATTTCAGTGTAGTGCATTTGCACATCTACAGCAGATATTCAAATGCTGCAATAGGGTACTTTTATTGACTTTTCTTTGGATAAACTGCTGCTCCTCTGTGCCTCAGCACTGCTGTGAACAGCAAAATCAAGGATGCAGAGATCATGATAAGACTTCCCTTTATTTAAAAAAAAAAGTCAAGTATTTAAAAACAGATTTAATTTAAGAGCACTGCTTCAAAAGTCACTAAAAATAGATTATCTGAAAATAAGTAATAGGCTTTAAATGAAAGTTGAATAAAGAAGATTTCTTCATTTCCATGACAGAGAGCAGAGTTTGCACAGAGGCAATACATCAGCATCAGGCAGTGATTTCTGCAGCTGGGTACTTTTGAATGGAGAAGCCTGTATGCACAACCTGGGACAAAAGATTACTGGAGATAACAATCAGAAAGCATATACCATTTCACAGAACGGTTTGGTTTGGAAGGGACTTTGAAGATAACCCAGTTCACCCTGCCCTGCTATGGATGGGATTGCCACCTGTTAGATCAGGCACCCCAAGGCTCCATCCACTCTGGCATTGATTCTTCTCCAGGGATGAGGCATCCACAGCTTCTCTGGGCAGCCTGTGCCAGTGCCTCACTACCCTCTGTGTAAAGAATTATCTCTTCATTTCTAATCTGAATCTCCCCTCTTTTACTCTAAAACCATTCTCCCTTGTTCTATTGCTGTGTGAAATGTTGGTCTTCCTCTTGATTATAAGCTCCTTTTTAGTACTAAAAGGTGCAATGAGGTCTCCCCAGAGCCTTTTCTTCTTCAGGATGAACAGGCCCAACTCCCTCAACCTTTTCTCACAGGGGAGGCATCCTTGTGGCCTCCTCTAGACCCATTATTGTGCTGGGGGTCCCAGGCCTGGATGTAGTACTGCAGAAGGGGTCTCAAGATGGGCCCTTGGCAGACGCAGTCATAGAACCACAGAATTGCTCAGGTTGGAAAAGACCTTAAAGATCATCAAGTCCAACCACTACCTCATTCACCTGGACATAGATCCATTGACCCCACAATCACCCTGTGATTGTCCAGCTGATTCTTTATCTCTAAATCACAGAAATGTGGATAAAGATGTGGTGTGGGCCTTGAGAAATTCCATACAGCCATTCATTCAGCTGGTCCAATTTCATGACTAAAGAGTCTCACCTTTGCTCTGCAACTAACTGCAAGGTTAGAAACAGAAGTAGAAATATTTATACCGATAAACCAATTTGGTTTATTTCTGCTCCAGACAAATTTAGCAATGTTCCATTTACAATCTCTGACCACACTTTATTTTTTTTCTATGTATACTTTGTTATGACAAAATCTCTTTCATCTTAATAAAATGTTTCCAGATATTATCTTCATAAAACTAACACTCAGTGAGACACGAACATTACTTTAAATAAAGTAGGCTTAATGCTTGTTGAAAATGCTGGAGAAGCATTTGTCAAGCTGAAGTTTCCTGTCTGCAAGGAGATGATCAGCAAGGGCTCCACTGCACACCAGTTTTAGACTTACTTAAGGAAAGCACGAAAGTGCTTGCTTATTTTTATGTAAATCTACTAACTTCACTGAGATTGTTGGACTGTTTCAATGATATGGGTTTAAAATAAAGCGTTTGCTCAAATACTTGACTGCCTTTTGAATCCGACTGCTTTTTCCCACAGAGGGAAAAACCTGCTGTTTTCATAGAGCTCATTTCTAGCTAATAGCCATCACTGCTCAGAACTGGATCAAGATTTATCACCAGAGGGCTAGGAGGTGGTAACAGCTTTTGGTGGTAAATGCATTCTAGCTGAGTAAGGTTGGAGGGATGCAGCAGGATGCAGCAGAATGCAGCCTAGCCCTGGCATACCAGGAAGAAAAGAGGCAGAAGAAGATGAGGAGTTATAGGGCTCCTGTCAGTCTGAGCTTTGCCACGCAAAGTACATGCTAAAAATTTCCTACAATGATTCTCTTGTAATGCTAGATAGAACTCAGTTATCCCACATACATGCACAACTGTTGGGGCACAGCCAAGGTATATTGTCCCTAAGCCCTACTGACAGTCTGTGTGTATGAGCTACCAGTGGACATTTACATGGGTGGTGTGATTCTGGCCTCTCCTGCGTCACCCCATCTGGGCAGCAGCCCTCACAGAATCACAGAATGGCCTGCGTTGAAAAGGACCACCATGACCATCTAGTTTCAACCCCCCTGCTATGTGCAGAGTCGCCAACCAGCAGACCAGGCTGCCCAGAGCCACATCCAGCCTGGCCTTGAATGCCTCCAGGGATGGGGCATCCACAACCTCCTTGGGCAACCTGTTCCAGTGTGTCACCACCCTCTGTGTGAAAAATTTCCTCCTAATATCTAACCTAAACCTTCCCTTTCTTAGTTTTAAACCATTCCTCCTTGTCCTATCACTATTCCCATTTAAACAGTCGTTCCCCCTCCTGTTTACGTGCTCCCTTCAAAGTATTGAAAGGCCACAATGAGGTCTCCCTGGAGCCTTCTTGTGTCGCCACTGCTGCTGTCAGTGGGCTGGCACCTACTGCTCAGGTTGTTGTCCCCAAAGCCTGAGACTGTCACCCTTTCACACTGCTCTGCCACCATTCTCATGCTCAAGGATTTCCTTGGTCCTTTCTGTCCTGGGTGACAGCTTGGCTTGTGCAGGGCACCTCACCTGGTATCCTGAAGATAAGAAGTTCTGTTTCTTTCCTTGAAACATTTTAATCATTGTAATTATTCCAGGAGACTGAGGGAACCTGGGAAGCCGTAAGACTTAGGACCTATGTGCTCACGTGTATTTCCATAGGCAGAATGCAGGCTCAGGTCTTGGATGGCATTGATAGTGGCTCTGCATGCTGCTGGATACAAAAAGGAGACTAATTTGGAATGTTCAGCATAGGGGAGCAACAGGGGTAATAGAATAGCATGATGGGCAGGCTAGATGGTAGAACTTTCTCTCTTTTTTTTTTTTCCTAACTTGAATGTCAAGACTCAGCATTTCTGGTGCCAAGAATATTTGCTCGGAGTAGAAGTGAGATAAGGCTGGAATCTGTGAGTGTGGGACATGAAATACAAGCGTCGTGCTCTCAGCTTAGTCCTCATTTTGCGGCAACCTGCTTGTTCCTGCAACCAGATTTATACTTTTAGTGTTCACGAACAGTATTTGGCCAGGCTACTTGAGCAGCGTGAACTGTTGTTTCTTCATAGTTCCCAGCTATCTGTTGAAAAAACACGGCGGCTGACCGGCGCTGCTGGTGTGCATGCCTGCAATTAGAGTTGTAGGGAAAATACGGGTGCAAGAATTCGCCTTCCTAAAGTTTGAGCCACAAAAGTAAGCACGCCACCAAGCCCCAGCAGCAACGCGCCGGGCGCCTTTCCTGTGCCAGGGCAGCCTTGCACCTCGGCCCCAGGCCCCGCTCTGCCCCGGGCCCGGCGGGCGGCCATGCGGGGAGGCCGGGGCGGGCCGCCGCGAGGGGCGGGAGGCGGTCGGGAGGCGGCGCGGGGCGGGCGGCGGGGGGCAGCGGCGCCGCGCTCCTGTCAGCGCCGCAGGAGCCGCGGCCGGGCCCGCGCTCGCCGCCGTTCCGCCGCGCTCCCCCGGTGTCGTTTGGCTTCGAGGAGGGCGGGGGTGGTGGCGGAGCGCGAGATGAACGGAGAATGAGGCAAAATGTCTGAGAAAATGTCCAGCTTTCTGTACATCGGGGACATCGTGTCCCTTTACGCCGAGGGCTCCGTCAACGGCTTCATCAGCACCCTGGGGTGAGTGCGGGGCGGGCGGCGGCACAGGAAGCGGCCGGCGGAGCGCGCTGCCAGCCCGGCGCGGCGCTTGGCGGAGCGGGGAAAGTAGGAAGTGCGGAGGAGGAGAGGGGCAGCGGGGAGCGCCGGCGGCCCGGCCCGGCTCCGTGCAGCCGGCTCGGCTCGGTTCGGTTCGGCTCGGCTCTGTCCGGCGCAGCACACCCGGAGCGTCCCGGCCCGAGTGCCTCGTGCTCGCGGCCGCGGCTGCTGTGCTTCTTATTTATTTATTTATTGACTTATTTCTAACTATTATTATTTTTAATTTTGGTATGAGCGTGATTCGCTGCAAAGGTGAGAAAGGACAAAAACTTGAGAGCGCTTTGCTGGTCTTTAGTTGAACGGCGTGCCCCTCCTCGTTTGTGTTCCGGCGGCGTCTTCCCTGAGGTGGGCGATAAACAGCCACTCGTAATCAGATACTCCGTGCCGCGGGGATGCTGCTTCCACGAGCTGCGTTTCCTCTGTACAGAATGGAAAGATGCAGTGCTGCCTCTCTCCTGCTTGCTTGGGGTTCTGTGTGTGTTCTTATGGCCCCTTGGGATCCCACACGGGAATGTGCCTCCAGGAGCGCACCCATCTTGTTCTTTACCCGTGGCACAGTGTGGCTGCAGCAACGGCCCTGGGTGGGGGATCCCCCTGATGTAGGGTCCCAGTGCCTGGGTGCCATGGCCGAGGTGAGCGTGTCCCTGAGCATGCCCGAACTGCGTGCTGATGGGGTGGATCAAAGCCATTCAGTCCACGAGGCAGCTCAAGCCCAGGTTTAACAGCAGTTTTTGCTTGTCAGACTGTACCTTCAGAACTACAGTTAAGCAAATGCACTCCATACTGAAGTCAACCCTTGGTTCATGAGGTGTGCGCGGCTCTTGTCACTGAGCTGCTGGTGCCCTTGAGGCCCGACAGTGGGGCTATGATTGAGGGCAGTGTTAGGATAGTAGCAGTGACTGTGGGGGTACCTGCTGTGGTACCCTTACCACAGCAGGGAAGGAAGCCAGCGCTCATTGTCATCTATATTTTTTCTATTTTTCCTATCCTTGCATGCGATCATTTCACGTTAACAAACATTTTTCTATGATTTGTTCCTCTATTTGTTAATTTCATGCCTTTTCTATCTGTGACTGTCTGTATCGTGTCTCACATCTCCTTTTGTTTTGCTGACTCTTGTAATTTTAAATCCTGTCTGAAAATGTTTGCTTTCTGCAGCTGCTAACCACTGGCTATTGTTTTTTATTCCTGTAGCCCTTGCTTCTGTGTCGGCATGGTTTGTTGTTGAGTAGCTGGTCTCTGTCTCACTGTTGCATTCAGTTACCTCATGGCTACTGAGCCTGTTGTCGCCAGGAGCCAGGGCAGAGCATTCACCCCAGCTTTATGGACAGGAAGCCAAGGCTGTGGTCTGCCTGTGGTACAGGGGAACTCTTCTGCAGGAGAAGTTACTGAGCCTAAGCTAACACCCTCACTAACACCTCTCCAGGTTTTCCTGTAGTAAAAGCAAGCTGACCCTGCTGGAGGACACCTCCAGGATGAGGCAGGATATCTGTGTGTCTCTCTCCTTCAGGGCTTCAAGAACACAAGGCAGCTCTGGCAGCTCCTCAGCATCCAAAGATGGCTGTGCTTTGGAGCTGAGGAGCTTGAAGGCCCCAAAGGACAAGCGAAGCTGCCAGTGGAATACTCCCATGCCCTCTAAGTGGGAGCGCTGACCCTCTGCTAGTGGTGCAGGAGTTGAGCAGACACTGAAGGTGCTGCCAGGTGCTGTTACCTGTGCCAGCTAGCGCAATCACTGCTTTTGGGCTGGCTGCAGCCAGGCAAGAGGCAAACACCATTTAGTCCGGGGAAGAAAGCGCCAGTAAGTCCAGGAGAGAGCTTTGCCCAGCTGCACATTTGCTGTGCATCTGTGGCTGGACTGCTTACTGCAGGTCCTCTGCTCTGCCAGCACATATGTGGAGATGTCCCCATCTTGCCAAGGTCAGGGAGAGGAGGGCAAACCAGCTTGAAGCTCGCACTCTGCAGTCCATCAGTCTCCTGTAGCTGCAAGAACTTTAAATCCAGCTTGAATCTAGTGGCTCTGTAGCAGGGAAAGAGTGCTGTTTATTTTAAGCTGTCAAAGGCTAATTGTTTCTTAAACAAAGCATGAGTGAGGCCACGCTATAAATAAGGTAAAAAGCTGCGCACAGCACCTCTCCAGGCTGGGGAGACCCATGTATAAGTGGCATTATTCAAACAGATTAGGACTGAGGTGAAGATCCATGCAAAGGCTGGGTTTCGTGCATAGTGGAGTACTTTTTGCTTGCTTGCTGATGCAGAAATGGTCATGTGCTCAGTTTTCTTCATGAAACTTAAATCCAAAGGAAAGATGAATTTGAGCTGTGCAGACTGAGCTTAGGCTCTGCTTAATACCTGCTGGAGCATGAGCATGGGAACCATTCTGCTGAGAAGGGAGGAGGATTGGTGGTCCTCCCTTGTTTGGCATCTGGGGACCAGGACTCCTTGCCCTGTGTCCAGATGAGCATGCCCGGGGGTGCTGCGAAGGCAGCAGTGCCTCTGCACACCTCTGGCTGCAAAAGAAAGTTTTGGGAGTTGCTGTGGCAGCGAGGTTCTGGGAGTGGGACCCAAAAGGCTGGGCACTTATCTGGGCTGAGAGAAACCTGCCTTCCCTTGTCCTTGGCGCAGGACTTTTGTTCTGTTTACTATAAACAGCTGTTGAGTGAAACACAGAGCAAAGGCTCTGCTGTCAGATGTGATCCCATAGTCAGAAGAGGAAACTGAATGTCTCTTCCGCGTCTCGAGTCAGTGCTGGCTGGGGGCAGGGGCAGGGAAGTGAGGCAGCGTGTTCCTAACTCTTCCTCTTTTTTTAATCTGTAGAATAGGGTTGTGTGGTGGTGAGGTTTTGAAGAAGAGGCATGAATGCCTGTCTTCAGAAGGATGTTGCAGGCTGTAGATCCAAGTGAACAGAAACTTCTGGGACATCTTGGAGAGGGTTTTAAAGCTCAGCATTCTCTGTTGGATGCTGCAGGCTTCAGATACCTGAGGTACAGAGGTCCAAGCAGTTGCCTGCGCTTTTTTTTTGTTTGAGTTTGGGTTTATTCTTGGTCTGGGTGCTGCTCTGAGATGCTGGTGATGTGTAATCTGACTTTTCCAGTCCCAAAGGTTTGAGTTGTTTCTTTTTCTCCTTTTTTAAAAAGGAGAATGGTTCTGTGTATACAAACTGTTCATCCTTCACAGTGTTTGGGAAAAGGAATTTGCACCCACGGGTAATTTTTCTGCCATTTCAAAATAGGTTTTATATTGGATTACCGAATAACGCTAACAGCAGTTTTTTTCTCTCTCATTTTTACATTCTAAGAGTATCTCAGCTCCTGCACAGTGTGAGGTTTTATGTCCTAGAGGCAGTATGTGGCAGAGCCAGGTGATGGATCCGGATATCACAGGTTCTCTTATAGTGGTGTCTGAGCCTTGGGACCACCTTCCCAGTGCTTTGGCAGTAAGTGTGGGCACTGATGTGTGCTGGGAATTGGAGCTACCGCTAATCACCTTTCTGTACAATGAGAGGAAAATATGTTCTCAGTTGGGGAGGCGGAAAAGCAGTAAATATCCACAAAAGCCAGCATCAGCTTCTGGGAAGTTTGACAATGGGGCTGCAGGTCACTGTGAGAAGCTGTGTTTCTGGCTCACCTCTGCACAGCTGCTGCGGTGTGGGGCCATGGAGACCTCATTGAGTGTGGTTAATGGGGGACGCGGCGGGGGCTGCCTGCTGGGTGGTGCGAGCATTTCTAATGAGCAGCAAAAAGAATCTGTGATTTCATAGAATCATAGAATATCCTGAGCTGGAAAGGATCATCAAATCCAACTCCCAGCTCGTTTTCTTGAGTTTAGTGCTCATTTGTCCCAGGCAGCCTCTCTCACTTGACTGAACTTTTTTTTTTTAATTAACTCAAAATGAGTATCACAGTTTTATTAGGTTCTGCCACTAGGCTTTAGTGCATTAGATGTCTTACTAAATTTGGACTTGATGCTGACAGCATCAGTCACGTTTTGTGAAGAGATGAGTTGAATTAGAAAGTGAGCAGTATAAACCAAATTATTGGAAATACCACAAAGGCTAAAATAGAATAACAGATCCATAGAATTGTTTGAGTTGGAAGGGACCTTTAAAGGTCATCTAGTCCAACTCTCGTAAAGTGAGTTATCCACAGCTAGTTGAGGTTGCTGAGAGTCCCATCCAGCCTGACCCTCGTTGTCTACAGGGATGAGGCATCCACCACCTCTCTGGGCAACCTGTTCCAGTGCTACTCAACTACTCTTATCATTAAAAAAACAAAAAAAACCACAAAAAAAAACTCACAACAACTTTAAAAATATGTTGTCTTATTGGCCTCAGAAATGATGCTAAGAGAAAAGATGTAGTTACTGATGATGCTACAACACGCCAGTGTAGTATTTTCTTAAGTGAACTTTTTTTTTTCCATCCTTCTCTTATACTGCCTGAAATGGTAAGCTTTGGTTGAGGAGCACTGTATATGTCCTTTAATTAATGGCAAATTTTTCTTTCTTTTGCCAGCTAACAAAATGTAATTAGTCGGGAGAGAATAAAAAGCCTGAAGAAAGTGAAAGTGGCATAACTGGAATCACTGTAATTTAATTCTGATACATACAGAACATAGTAATATGTGGAGTAGGAGGGAAGATGAATTTCCTCTTTCCTGTGAGCAGAAGCACTGCTGTGTTTTGTTACAGAGGTGCCTTATCCTCCTGATGAAACTTGTCACTTTGATTCCGTGTCTTAATATCTTTTCTGCTTTGCAGGCATAGCATTTTCAAAATTACCTTCTCTTTGTTATCATCCTAGTGCGAAAGTACCAGTCTGAATTCTGCAGCTGCTTTCCATGTCTGCTGATGTAACCGAGAACACAAATTGGCTCGTTATGGGCCACTTGGCAGCTACACTGTGTATTTTTTTTCTGTGATAACTTTTT